CTCCTGCCTTACCCTCCCGAGAGCTGGGATTATAGGCATGCACCACCACACCCAGGTTTTCAAGTTTTCTTTCTGAGATTCTTTCCTTGTCTGCCCAAGGCACAGAACAGCCTGCTGCATTCCCCTCCTGATGATCCAGTGCTCTGTGCAGTGGAGGAGCTGGACTACAGCATGCAATGGAACACTTCAGGATCAGCAGGGGACTGTCTTCCTTCCCAGGAGGCCCCACGATAACAGAGTCCTTGCTTTGTATCTTTCTTCCCTTCTGTCTTCTGAGAAGGGCCTTGCTGCACAGCAGAGATGCCTTTGGATCCCACCAGGTGTGGGTTCAGTTCTGCCTTTGTCTGCCTCCTGCTCACTGTGTCTTCAGAAAACCCTTGAACTCAGAGGATTCTCCTGTTCCACACTGACAAAATGGAGTGGTCGTAGCCACCAACGTTACTTGGTGAGGTTCCCTTAAGATGACATTGTAGATTGCATGCAGCTAACCCAGAGTTTGTGGTCAGTGCATGGCAACAACATATCATTATCCTTTGCCTCTTACTCACCATGGCACTCAGCACCCTGCCAACATATTTGGGGTCATTTCTGCGGGCCACATCGGTAGCAGGGTCACGTCGGAAATTCAGACTCTTATCCAGGATGGAGAGGCTGATGTTCAGAATATCTTCTTCATACTGTTGAAAATGGAAAATGATACCAGGTTAGGACAACAGAAATGACAAGTAGCAATTAGTGAAGGAAAGGGAGCTCCGAGGCTGAGAAGCACAGGGCCCATCAGGCTCTTTCACTCTGTGACCTCCTGAACCAAGCACTCCTGGATAAGAGCCACTGGGCCTAGCCTTCAGCCTACAAACTCGTCCTGAGTCCTCTCTGACCACAAGATCCTATGCCCCCATCCCAAAGTGAGCAAGAGGGAGCAGGGCTCAGTTCACCCTTGCTGCTGTGGGAGCACAGCCTGTCTGGCTTTGATTTCTGGGTCTGCATAGTGAAGGGCAGGTCAACCTCATCTCAAAGTCAGTCTGTCTCAGACTGTGGGTTTGAACATATTATGTAGACTCCTGGGAAGCTGGTACCAAAGGTAAATATGTTATTAAGAGACACATCTGAAGCCTTTTCACAAAGTGAGACTTAGGGTGAGAGATTGCTTCTCATACTGGCACCTCCTGCCTCAAAGTCTTTGCATTCGGTTTTCCTTCTGTGTGGGGCCGTCTTCTCCAGGCTGGCTATCAGACTCCCTTGCCACCTTCTGATACTTGATAAAAAGCTCCTTCTCAAACCATGTCACCAGAAATAGCCTCTCTTCACCAGATAGATGCTCTAAATGTCCTTACCTGTCTTTTCCTTTGCTTCCTTCTAAGGAAATTGGTTACAAAACCCCACACAGAGAAGGCAAAGCAGATTGGCTCTGGTTGACTACAGAATGAGTCTGGGATAGTGAGGCATGTCCCTGTTTGCACCCTCCTGGACATCTCGGAGACCCCGCTCTTCATTCTAATACCTTTGTTTATTTTCCGTGGAAAAAGGAAAAGATAGAAAGGTATCCCTGGAGGTTTCTAAGCTGAGCAAAACTGGAAATTCTCTGGACTCAGAAGTAATACAGGACAAAGGTAGTACAGGACAAAGATACCATGGCCTTAAAAAGCCAAGTACATACCACAAGATATCATCACATTTTTTTTGACACAAAATGAATAATAAAAGCTATTCTATTGTCCCTAGGACCTTTCCTGGGCCTTACACTTGTTTATGTACCTAGGCACCAGTACTATTTCATTGTATTGATTGAATTTGTCCCTGTGTTGCCCACTGGATTATGACACCCTCCACCCCACCCTGGAGAGACTAGGTCTTGCTCATTTCCTCTACCTTCAGTGTGTAGCTCGAGGTCTGGCACACAGTATGTGGTCAGTAAACGTCTTCTGAATGAGTGAATGAATGAATGATTGAATGAGTGGCAGGCAAATGGACAGACACAGGGCTAATCTATGGGGCAAGCTGCTGAGCTTCTTGCATAATAAGGTTATTATTCTTAGCCTCCTGATGACCCTTTTACCTGTCCAAAGTTCCAGCCAATCATGCCAATTCGATTTATGCTGCCCACGAAGATGTTGCCAGAATCTTCCTCAACATATTCTTGTCTCTCAGCCTGGTTACTCATAAAGACATCATCCGCTGTTTGACACAAAGAGTAGATACCAGGGACTAGAATCCCACAGGAGACTAAGATGCTCAGTCTCTCCCACTCCTAGAGTGGGGCTGGAACATCCCGACTGTGGCCCATCTCCCCACCTCACTCAGGAAAGAGGTCCTAGGCCTCACTCTCACAGTGATACTGTATATACTGTGGGCTGGGAAGCAAAACCAGACTGTCCTGGGGACTGGAAATGAGACCTCAAGGATGAAGCCCTTGCTCTTTTAGGCAAGAAGCTATTGTGATCCTGCACTTCTGTACTATACTCCTTGCCCCTTGCTCCATAGTGTGTAAAAGCTCATGGATGTTCTTTGAATCACACAGGAAACAGAATTATCTGTTCGTAGGGAGGAACTGGAAGCTCAGAGAGACAGAGTGGCTGTTCAGATGCACACAGCTGATTGTGGTAGAGCTGGCCTGTGGCTTCTCTGAGGTTTCCATGGTCCACAAACTTTCCCTATCAAATCTGAGCCTGTGCATGGCATCTCCCCATCTCCTTTCTGTTCTCACTACCTAGATCAGAGCCGGTAGTGTGGGTGGTTAGAGACCTACCTTGTAGCCATGGGTTAAAGAGCAGTGTGAAGAGCCCAAGTTTCATGGAGGAGACCCTGCCCTTGGAGGAGATCTGAAGGCTCATTGTGTACCATCCGATGGGGGCACTGGCAGGGCTGAAAATGGCAATGGTCAGAGCATTGCCATTATTTTCTCTGACCTCTGCAGCCCAGCCACTGCCTGTGTTTCTCCCCCTGGAGACTGGAAATGTGGCCTTTGTCCTGGCCGACACTGAGGGATTAGGACCTGCGGGAAACCAAAGAGTGTTGGTCAGATTAGGCTCCCACCCAACTGCAGGGGCTCTCAGGCACCTCAACGAGTGAAGCACCCTGTTATAAACTACCTGCTCCTAGTGACTAGAGAGGCCTCGGCTCACACCCCCCTGTGTTTGAGGATGACAACTCTCAGGCCTGAGCTAGGCAATCACTTGTCTAGGGTCACACTGAAGCCATGGCAGAGCTGGGCTTGATCCCAGAGCCCAGTGGCCTAGTTGTCACCTCCCCCCAGGTAAAAGCATCAAGGGCTACTTAGGTGTGGGTGAGAGGGGTGGCAAGCAGGTACCTGTTTCAGTTGTGAGATTCAGACCTTCTTCAGAGTCAAGAGCGCGATTAAAGTTCATTATCATGTGGAACCCCTGCCCCCTGCGCAAGATGATGTCGCGGCTGGAGAACTGGCCCGTGTGATGTTCACGCCGGTTGGTGGCCACCTGCCAGTCGACATTCTGGAGCTCTAAAGCTGTGAAACAGAAAGCAGAGTCTGAAGTGCTGAAGGGGTGAGGTGTGGGGAATGAGTTACAAACTACCAAAAAGGAAGGTGTGGATGAGCTATGTGGCAGCACCCACCTTCTAGAAGGAGCCCTGATAAATCCTGAAGACTTTTGATGTTATGTAATGAGAACACCACAGTTGATTCTCATTCCATAGTTCCAGATGTAGATGCCCAGAGTCACATGACTCAAAGTAACAGAACCACCCTGAGCTTCTCCCCTCAGCCTCTCTCTCATGGGATCTCGCTATGAAGCCTAGGTTGTCCTGGAACCTGAGACCCCCCTGCCTCAGCCTTCTGAGTCACTGGGATTCCAGTCTTACATCAGCACACCTGGCTCAATGGAAGCTCTCCACATACTCTCCTCTCTTCTGGCAGGGTCTTTCTCCTTACATAGTGACCATGAGGTTGCCAGGGATAGGACACTCAGGAAAGTTTCTCTCAGCCAGCCAGCCTAGACTATGTCACTAAGGCATTTTGTCCTGTCTGCTTTCAGCGTTTCTCATTGCTTTGTGGACAGGAGCTGGGACAGAACTGGAAGGGGGAAGATGTGTCAAATTCATGAGCTAGGCTTGCTTTTTTGTCCCATCATAGAAGCCCTGAACACAGAGGTCCTAAAACCCAGCCTCTTCTTCTCATGTGATTGTGGCAGCAGCTAAACTGCCCAGGGTTTATGAGCTACCATGATGTATGAGGAGTTTGGCTCATACAGCTGTTGAGAAATCTATTCCTTGAGTTATGTCTGAGATGTTATGTCACCCACTCCTCTGCAGACCAGACTGAGGTTACAAGAACCGTGGGTGCGATGCACATTCAGGATCAGACACCACACCATCGCATGTGTCAATCTCTCTATCAGAATGTGCTTCCTGAGCTCTGTTCTGATGCCTTTCACACTGCTTGACTGTATTAGAATTAATGGATACATAAATGAAGGAATGTGTGAAGAAAGAAATAACCTAACTACAGTTAAGTGCAAGAGATAATGGATGCAGCCTGGGGTGAATCCACCTCATCCAAATGAGAGACTCAGGGAGGATTTCCCTCCTTCCAAGAAGCATCAGGGCTCAAAAAGGCTGCACCGAAATGCTGGTCCTTAAAAAGAAGACATACAAGTGGCCAACACTGATGTGAAAAATACTCAAAAAACAAAAGGTGTATAGGAGGCAGGCAAAGGAGCCCTTGCACACTGTGGGTGCAAACGTGAATGAGTGCGGTCATTATAGAGAACAAGATGGACATTCCTCCTCCAAATAAAGCTAAGCCAGATGGAGTGGCCCACACCTACAGTCCCAGCCAACTGGGAAGCTGAGTTTGGAAGACTCCAAGTTAGAAGTCAGCTTTGGCAATTTAGGGAGATTGCTTCAAAAATAATAAACAAATAAATAAATAAATAAATAAATAAATAAAGAGCTGGGGAAATAGCTTAGTGTGATGACACTGGGCTTAGTACACTAGTATGGCAAAAAAGAAAAGGAAAAAGAAAAAAAATTAAAACTAGAACTACTACATGACCAGCAACTCCACTCCTGGGTATAAGTCTAACAGAAGTGAAATTGGTATGTCAAAGAGATGTTTGCCCTCCTGTGTTTACCAAAACACTATTTGCAATAGCCAAGAAAGGGAAACAGCCCAAGTGTACATTAGCAAATGAATAGATGAAGAGCATGTGACACTGTAGCTCTACACAATGAAATACTACTCTGCCATAAAAAGTATGAAACCCTGCCTCTTGTGACAGCACAGAGGAACCGGAGATCATTATGTTAAGTAAAATAAGCCAGACATAGGAAGACAAATACTGCTTTCGTCAGAAGTTGAGAGTAGATTTGTGGTTATCAGATGCTGGTGGTGGGGAGGAGGCATAGATAAGAAAGGTTGATGGATGGTATTAAATAATAGTTAGATAGGAATAAGAAATTCTTTGAAGCTGGGTGTGGTGGCACACACCTATAATCCCTGCCCTCTGGGAGGCTGAGGCAGGAGGATTGCAAGTTTGAATCAAGTCTGGGCAAATTTAGACACTGTCTCAAAAAAATAAGTAAATAAAAATAAAAATAAAAAAGGGCTGGAGATATAGCTCTGTGTCAAGGTTCACTTCTCCAGTAACTGCACCCCCCCAAGAAAAAGGTTTTTTTGAACGTTTTCACTGTGAAGTGTTGATAAATGTTGGAGGAGGAGGATATATATAACCTGATTTAAATATTACAGTGTTTGCATGTATCAGAATATCATATGGTATTCCATAAATATCTATAAGTTTAATGTTTTTATTTATCAGCTAAACAATACATTTAAATTTAAGAAGGAAGGACACCCTGGGCCATGAAAGAGGACCATTTTGTCAGTGCGAGGAGACCATCTGTATTTCCAGGCAAGGGGAGGAGAGAGGAGTGAGGTGTGTCATCTGGCTACAACAGAGGCCTGGCAGGGAGGAGAGTGGAAGAGGACAGGATGGAGCAGGGGTCAGAGTGGGATGGGAGGGGCTTCTCCTGAAGCAATTATGGAGGCCGGGCAGCAGCTCTCTGCTCTCTGCGGTGGTGGGTCACACACCTCTCCTGGAAAGGATGCTCAAGAGGTGGCCAGACCACCAGCTCAGGGAACAACCGATGCGTTAATTCATTGGCTGCCAAGAAAACAGGACAGGAACAACAGAGGGGAAAAGAGGAACTTTCCTATACATGGGTGTCCGGTGGAGTTGGCTCACATCTGAGACTCTGTGAGGCACACACTGGTGGGCAGCCAGGCTGCTGGGTGCTGTGTATCTCTAAGGTAATGGTCCCAGCTTTATACTTGTGCCTCTTACCTTCTGTGCATCCCAGCGGTTAGGATTTAATAGAGCTTTACTCTTAGTCGTGCTTTAGAAACAAAGAAGGGCTCTGTGAAATGATTTTCAGCCCCTTCCCAAATCTAAAGGGATGCATGTCCTTCTCCAGAGCACTTGGCTGTCCTCAAACACAAGGCCTCTGACAGCACAGAGCATGCCCCCGACGGCCCCCTGCCCAGCACAGTGGGGAGGAAACAGTAGGAAGGATCTGTGTCTACCACTGGCACCTGCTTCCCCTCCAGTGGGCCCTTGCCCTTTTGGCTCTACCAAAGGCTGTGCACTCTTTGCTGTGGCTATGATGGGTAGCAGAGGCTTCCTCCATTCTTCCCAGAGATCAATGACTTGCCCTTCGGGAGAATGGCCAGGACAGCTGAGGTCCAGTGTGCCTAGGCTGAGGAGACACCTTCCCTCCAAGGGACTGCCAGCAGCAGGGAGACAGGTGCCCTTTGGATGACCTGTTAGATCAGCTCTGGAGCAGTTGTGGTGGCAATGATCAGAGCATTGCTGATGTTTACTGGGCTTCTGGGTGCCAGTTACCGTCACAAGGGTTTACACGCCCATTAAACTGTGAGTGGGACGTGCGTAATCCTCTGTTTTTCAGAGGAGGAAGTTGATGTGTGGAGCAGCCTGGGTCCTGGACAACTGCTCCTTAAGGAGGACTGTAGCTGTGTAGCCCGAGAGTCTGGCCCCAGCCCACACTGTCTCTGCAATCCAGATGCCAGGCGTGAGAGTCAGAGGAGAGGCACACATTTGGGGGTTGGGGGGGGGGAGGGTTCATGGCTGCTCTGAGCTGGAGGAGGAGGATAAGGAGGATTCCTGTTTACTATCAGTCTGTAGTGTGTCAACTACAGTGGATTGTATGAAAAATAGTCTATGTAATCATTGATGAATCCTTACAACTGGAAATTGAGGCTTAGAACAAGGATTTTATCTGAGATCCTAGATGTAAGAGCTGGCAAAGTCAGGACTCTGAACCCGGGTGTGACACCATAAGAAACACATTTCTGGTCTCTGCCTGCAAAGACCTAGAGCACAGCTCCTAAAATGCTTGGAATTCTGGAAATGATGAGCATCTTTTTATGCTAATTAGATGAATAATGGCGGCTGGGACAACCTATAATCAGAGGGTTGGAACTTTCACCCTTGGGCCCCCCAAATTCAGGGAAGGGAGAGGGATCAGTGAGTAGTGGTTCATTCAATCATGCCTGTGTGATGATTCCTCCACACAGACCCCAAAGGTTGGGTTTCCGTGTGATGAAACACGGAGGGCTGGGAGGATGCACCTTGTCCCATGCACCTCGCTCTTCCTGAGTTGTAGACTTTCATAACCAAGTGGTGATCTAGCTGGTAAACTGCTTTCCTGAGCTGCAAGGAGTTCTGACAAATCCTTAAGCCCGAGGCATTTTATAGCCAGTCAGTCAGAAGTATAGGCAATGAGTTGGCTTTATTATTGTTATTGTTGTTATTATTATTATCATTATTATTATTATTTATATTAGGGACTGAATGTAGGGCCTTCCAACTGAGTTATACGCCCTGTCCTTGTGTTAGTTTTTTTTTTTTTTTTTTTTTTTTTTTTTAGGCAGTGTCTTGTTAAGTCTCTAAGTTTTCCCAGGCTGAGTTTGAGCATGCAATCCTCCCGCCTCAGGCTCCTGGGGAGGGAGGGGGCTGAAACCAACACCTGGCTATAACCTACACTTTAGATTGGCACATAAAGTGAGGGGCTTCTTGTAGGGCTGAGCCCTGACCCTATGGGGGACTGTGCTAACTCCAGATAGTGTCAGAACTGAACTAAATTCCAGATATCCACTTGGTGCCCACTGTTAATTGGAGAATTTCTTGGTATGGAGGAAAAAGAAAACCCACATCTTTGATGGCTCGAAGCATTGAGAGTAGACCGGAAGATTTCACTGACCCTACCTTACCTCTGCATCCCTGGTTTTCCTGCTCTGGAGGTAGAGAACCCTCAGGACTCATTATCTACCCTCAGCTATTTGTCTCCCAACAAACAGGAGGAAGTGGGCATCTGGAGGCTAGGAGATGTAAAGCGGGACCAGCTCCCTGGATCCCTGAGGCTGGAGGTGTGCGCAGAATGTCTCCCGGGCAGTTTCTGGTAACTGTTTTTCCTACTGGTGGTTCCTTC